TATATTACATATATAGTGATTTTATATATTTTTTTTCTTTTTTTCACATGGAGAATACATTGTGCTCAAATAGCTGAAGTTTGGGAAATACTGTCTGTGTTATTTTGAGAAAGACTAGAGAAACTTTATTTTTCAAAAAGGAGTAAAAGAAGTGTTGAAAATCCCAGAAAACAAATGATAAAATGAGGTTCCAGAGGAGGTGGGTGGGATGGGAAGTAACCACACAAGGGTATGGTCAGTGAAAGACAGGAAGAACATCACTTTTTCCAGGATGGAGAGAAGAACATAAGGATGGACATGGGAGGCTGTCTCTCCCTCTGGAGATAGCCTGCAGTCTCCCTTGAATATATATTCCTTGCTTTACCCCCAAAGTTTCTTGCTTTCAAGATGGCTATGTTCTCCTTTGCACCTTTATGATGGCTGGTATTCTCCCTGAGTGTGCAGTTCTTACTTTATCCCCAAAATGTCTATTCACTGGAATAGTCCATATTCTCCCTTAAATGTTTATCCAGTTTTTAAGGTAAATCTCTTAAAAAAATAATGAGCAGACACAAGTAAAGAAGCTTATGGAAGTAAAGTATTGAGGAAATTCCCACCTGAAAAGCTCTACATCTCAGTCAGAGGTGTGTGTGTGTGTGTGTGTGTGTGTGTGTGTGTGTGTGTGTGTATGTATGAATAGAAAGGACAGAAAATTTGAATATAGTGTACAGGAAGCTTGGAAAAGATGGAAAGTTTACACATGACTTCTGAGGGCAATGTATGGAGGAACTGACCAAAGGCAAAATAAGTTGAAAGCATACTTATAATAAGAACCATGAAATTTTAGTGATACTAATCAGAATGCTTGAGAGATTTTTTCTAGTAGGATAACAGTGAGCACACTGGAAAGGGATTGGACATTGGTCCCAGATGGAAGGGACAAGAAGGTAAGACATTTTTCAAGAATAGTGAGGGGAAAGTCATAGAGGTACAAGCTTATTGGGAAGAAAAGAAGCTGAAAGAAGTAGAGATTTGAGTCAAAGAAAGGGTCCCAGCAGTGGTAGGGTTGTGGCTCACCTACCATGCATGAGGCACTGGATTTGATCCTCAGCACCACATAAATGCAAAATAAAGATATTGTGTTCACCTAAAACTAAAAAATAAATATTAAAAAAGTAAGTTTGAGTTCAGAAAGAGAACTCTTAGGGGTAAATGAAGCCCAGGTGGCAGAAGAGAAAACATTATCAAAGTCACTGCAATTTAGAAGCCCAAACATTGAGAAGCTAGGGGTAGGATCGGAGGTCTTTAATAGAAGTCTCTCAGCCTGCTGGTTATCCCTGTAATGGAAATATTGAGAATCACAGGCCACAGACTTCTGGGAATGTGAATGAAGTGACAAAGAGGATAGGTGGTAGTGCTGGCGAAATAAAGAGACAATGGTAAAAGAGAAAGCATTTTCTCATAAAGAAAAAGAGAGATAATGATCTAGAAGAGACAAGGAGGAGCTGGGCAGGATGGGAGGCAGGGTAGAAAAAGCAGCCTCCATGAGAGGAAATGTCCAGAGAAAAATATGAAGGACTCTGATTTTGTGGAGAGCTACTGATAGAAATGAAGGGGGGTTCTAAGAAATATAGTTTGTTAATGAGCTGATTCAATCACTCTACATTGTATATGTTGTGGTGTCACTGAACACTCTATATGTGTATACAATTATAATCTGTCAATATCCAATAAGAAAATTAAAAAAAATAAACACTTTAACAAAACAGAGGGAAAAAATTAAATATAGTTCCAGAGAGCCAAAAGCAAAGAGATGTCAGGAAAGGGTACAGGGAAAAGAGGAAGAAAAAAACAGTGTGGATGAGAAAAGTCACGTGCACTATGGTGGTGCCTAACAACATGGGAATGAGGGAGGGATGGAATCCCCACTCAGCACTACCCATCCCCACCCCATATCACAGGGACAGACATTTTATGCTCAAGGAGGACTTTGCCTTTCAGAAAAATAGGGCTCCTACAATGTGAGGCATGTATAGGAAAGCTGTCTTACCATCCTAAGGATAAAAACGCCCAAACCATTTATTTCTGGAAAATTCTGATAGTCTTCTACAGAAAAGAAGCCTCAAAGTTTCAGCTTTATTGGTTTATAAGGAAATAATCTCCCCACCCCTCACTCCAGTTCCATTCCCCCTCCTTAAGGCCTTGAGTCCAAGCTTGGAACTAAAGGTAGAGCCAGCCCTAGAAAAAATTCAGATTTTTCTCTCCATGTTCATCATTTCTTAGTGAACAGCAGATGGTAGCAAAGAGCTGGGAAAGGTGATAAATCCTTAATATTGCTCTAGGGCAGCCAAATAGGTGATATGGCCCATCAAATTCTAGAGGGTGTTGGATGCTCCCACCTAGGACCTGGAGTCAAAGATCATTACACCTGTCCTGCAAGCCAAATCCTCACTGAGCTAGGATGTCAAAGAGGTATCAGCAGTAAAACAGTGTATCATGTCTCCCATCATAGCCCTACTATTTCTTGCCTCACCAGTTAGGGACTTAGGCTACCAACAGGAAATGCTGTAAGATGACACAATTATATTCCCCCAAATGGTGAAGAGGGCCAGGTGTGGTGGCCCATGCCTGTAATCCCAGTGGATCAGGAGGCTGAAGCAGAAGGATGGTGACTTCAAAGCCAGCCTCAGCAAAAGCAAGGCAATAAGCAACTCAGTGAGACCCTGTCTCTAAATAAAATACAAAATAGGGCTGGGGATGTGGCTCAGTGGTCAAGTGCCTCTGAATTCAATCCCCAGTACCCCCAAAAAATGGTGAAGAAAAAGGGAAGGTGAACTAGGCTTTGGAAATGATCCTGCTCCCACACTACCCTCTGCAGTGCTTATTGGACTGTATGACAATTGAATACCTTCCCTAATAGACAGGGGCTCCTTCTGCAAAGACCATCTCTCTCTGATTATCTGTGATTTCCTACTAAAAATGCCTGGCACATAGTAAATGTTCAAAAAATTTGTATTCAGTGAATCAGGGCAAGAGATAGGGGAGACTCCCAGCCTGATGTGGTTAGGACTGAGAAATTTAGCCTTTCAGACTTCATATTGTATGAGAAACACCCCTGGTCTGGGAAGGAATTTAGGCTGGGCTTTGAAATAGTTTATCTCTGAGAATGAACTATTATCCTGGCTCCATTGTTTATGGCTATGGGCAAAGTGCTTAATGTTTCTAGGCCTTGATTTTCTCCTTCACAGAAGGCAGACTCTTCAACCAGCTGTTTGTGACAGGAAAATACACACAACATAACTGTCACATGTATCTTGGTACCCAACAAGCACTCAATTAAAAGTAGTCACTGATCCAGGCATGGGGGTGTCCACCTGTAATTCCAGGTAGTCAGGAGGTTGAGACCAGAGGATCCTGAGTTTAAGGTCAACCTGGGCAATGTCTCAAAAATATTAGTCACTGATATTTTTTGTGCTTATTATTCCTGTTGCTACAGCTTCTTCTCAGGGCCAGGTATTGGGGGCAGGGTGGGGGATAGTCATTAGAAGTAGGAAGTAAATTGGAATTATGATTCAGAATCTGTACTTCCTCAGCTCAGTTCCCTCAAATAGCATAGCACCAGAACCAACAGAAAGTTACAGAAGAGTCAGCCCAGTCTAGAGGGCATAGCTTCCCCATTGTTTTTTTGGAGGGAGGTGGGATGGCTACTTGGTATTTTCCATGTCAACCAGTCTAGTTCAGCTGACAATTTTTTATGTTTCCCTCAGAGTAAAAAGAGGTTTAACTAATAGCCATAAGGATTTGGGTATAATTCCTACCACACAAATCAGAAGCCAGGAACAATGAGGATAGGGTCTGGTGTCCTGGTTCCACTCAAAATCAGTTTATCTCTGAGACTTGTCTATTATCTGGAGTTCGTTGCCTGTGTAACAGAGGACAGAACTGACTAATAACACAACTTCAGACCTCCCTTAAAGCTAACTAAATGTAACTAAATGAAAGTGTTCTTTGGCAGTGTGAGACCCCAAGTGGCTACACAGTGTAAAAGCAGCCTCAAAGAAGATTTAGACAAATATATAGAAAGGAGGCCTAATTGATAGGAACCAGGGGATAGGTGACCAATTTCTTGACTACCAACAAGCAAGAGAATCCAGAAGAACTTCCAGACCACCCTCCAGTGAAGTGAAGGGCCCAAATGGCCTCATGCCATTTTTAGTGCAATAGAAATAAAATTCTTGCTGCCTGGGCTGAGGTATGGAGGGTGGCTCTTCCAGAAAAGTCCCAGCAATCAAGATAGAGAGACTAGTCACTAAGACTAAAAGACAATGTCTCCCAGTTATAGGGCCTTTCAGGAAGGGAAGAATGCTAAGAGAGAAGGGAGCATTTAAGGGGCAATGTGAACATAAATAGATCAGGTTCTTTTCTACAAGACTGTCTCTACCAGGTGGGCAGACTCCTTCTCTTGACCAAATGAAAAGTTTGCAATGGTTTTACATGAAGAATTACATGAAGGATTCTGTTAGTTCACCTGCCTCTTCCCTCAGTGCCATAATCCCCCAGGCCCTTGAGGCCTAATCTCTTTCAGTATCTTCTTGGGTTCTGAGAGGATGAATGCAATGAGCAAGAACATAAAGGTCCAAGTGCTCCATTTTGTCCTTGCTATACTTGACACTGAGGCAGGGGGCAGACACAAGCACAAGAAAGGGACAAAGTGTAGGGGACACCATGCAAATCCAAGGCCACTGCCAAGAGCCCAAAGCCTAGGCCCTATGACAGGCAGTTAGCAGTGCCATGCTCAACCCACAAAAGATGTTTCTGAAAAGCCTCCAGATGCTTTGCAGGCCTCATCCATGCCCAACTCCCCAGTCCCCAGTGTCTACCATTAAACATGCTGAAGAAACCCAGCCAAGCAGCAGCTCAAGATGCTGGTAGACCCCCAAGAAATAGCTGACTCCTCCAAATCCAAACAGAGGGAGAGGCAAGGTGTGGGGTGACATAGGGATGTTATGTGCTGGCCTTACCTCCTTTCCAAAGCAGGTAGATGGGCACCACGTAGAGCATGACATGCTGAATGTAGTAAATCTCCAATTCAAAGGGAAGCTATGAAGACAAGATGGAGAGGGGCATTTCAGAGAAGGAAGCACTTATTTCAGGAGATTCTGAACTTGAACACCCTTGCTCTTCAGAATCCACATTTTAGCAGACCCAGGCATTTCATCAATTCACCTCTTTTTTTCACAATTAAAAAGAAAAAAGATGAATATACTCCTGACCTAGAACAGAATCTTCCAAGGTGTATTTTACTGAGATGATACTTGAAAAAATACTTCACTAAATAAAAGTTTGGTTAAAAATTTAATAAAGGTTGCATATAACATATTCCCTTGGAGAGTCATCATGCATGGCATTGGTACATTAAGGATTTGAGTGGACTCTACAGTTAAGAATCCTACTCAATATTTTTTTCTCCAAAGTTTCTTAAATGTATTTAGGAAGTGACTTAAAAAATAGAACACTTAGGATTCTGCAGAATATACTTAGAGAAACACAACCTTATGTCATTTCCTACTCCTGGCAAGTAGATGGTAAACTATTTGACATGTAGAACTATTTGACATGTAGAACATATGAAGGAGGATTTATTATCCTCATTTTCCAAATTGAAAAAAAAAGTGATTACTAAATCTGGTCAAGTCTAGATCCAAAAATAACAAGTTTCCACATAGGATACTTGGGTGTCAGTCAGGGCTTGACCTATCATTTTTATTATTTTTTAGTTGTAGATGAACACAATACCTTCATTTTTTTTTTTATTTTTCATATGGTGCAGAGGATTGAACCCAGTGCCTCACATGTGCTAGACAAGTGCTCTACCACTGAACCACAACCCCAGCCCTATTTTTGACTGAAGACCAGCCAGCAGGGCCAATTCTGGCATAGTAAGCCAAAAGAACTTCCCTTCTTTCTTGACATATAACATATCCACTTGTTCACCCTTTTCCCAATCCCCCTCAAAATGGAAGCTATGGATCACCAAAGTCGAGTATAGTTTCAACCTGGCATGGGGGTCTTGCTGTTGAGCTTGGCAATAGGCAGAAAATGGAAACAGGTGGGTGGCTAACTTAATTTGGTGGAGAAAAAGAACTTCAGCAGCTGGCAAGAGGCCTTACCTATAGGGCATACTAACATGTGCATGCATGTGCAAATGGATAAACACTGATCTCAAGGGCAGCTCAGAGAGACAAGGACACCCAAGGGAAGGTGTCAGCTGCCTCCCTGTTCCCTACAGAGCAAGCACATAATCAAGAATTGTGCTAATGAGAGAAGGCAGTTATAGGCCCCCCAGGCACAGGAGCCCAAGTCTACTGTGTGCCAAGGGCTAAAACCAAAAGATGGCTGCTGAGAGTCATAGCTAAGTAAGAATGACGCATGGCAATTTCCTTGTCAGCCTACCCCATGTTGCTTAGAGGGAGGACTCTCCATTGTGGAAATGGGCTTGCCTTGGACCCAGGTCATTTGCAGTGACATTGCATGAAAGATGACCTTGCTCAAGGACCAGGGCGGATCCGGATTTAGGGCTAATCGGGGTTTAGGGTTTAGGGCGATCTGGGTTTAGGGCGGTTCCAGGTTTAAGGTGTATCCTGCTGCCTCCAGGCGCCTGCTCCTAGAGTTCCCATTGAGTTCTCAGGGGATTCAGAGAGTATTTTGGGATGCAGAGCCCGGTGGAGGTAGTAGATTTTCCCCAGAACATGCATGTAGAGTGCTGGTGACAGTTCGGGAATAAAGAATTGCTGTTTGAATCTACAAGGTGTGAGTGGCTCGTGATTTTGTGCCCAGCCAGACTGCAGCAGATGGCAAAGCTCCCAGAATGGGAGCTAGGACAACTGTAGACCCTGGGCACGAACAGTGGCTCTAGCTCTTGACAATCCATATCAAAGGAGAATCTCCAGAGACCTAGATGATGCTAAACTATTACTTTATGTTCACAGAGGTGAATATAAAAACCCAGAAATGGAGATAAGGTTCCAAGTGTCTCTGTGGAAGATGCTGGAATGGGTTATGGGATCTGAAATTGGGCATTACTAGCACATGGTAGGTCTGGAGGCCTAAAAGGCCCATATTTGGCCTTCAATGTGGTCAGGATGACCCTACTATTTTATGTGAGTATGGTCATATACTTTTCTTTTTTCCATATTTTTATTGGTGAATTATGATTATACATTGTAGATTATTGTTATACATTCATACATGTACACTGCTTCAAATGTGTTCACATTCATGAGCTACTCGGTCTCTCTGTATTGGACACATAAGGAGCATAAGGTACAAAAAGGTTAATTGACTCTTTGCTGAGATCACCCAGAAAATAGTCAAGGAGGAAAAAGTCTTAGGAAGGCTCAACTCTCTGGCTATAAACCAGAACCCTGACCTCTCCCTGAAATAGGCTTGAAGTCAGGTTGCTGTCCCACTGCAGCAGAAGAGAACCATACCAAGGGCCTGTGGCCTATAGTCCCAGCACACTGTCAAGCAGTCCCCCTACTGACATCTCCAATTCCAGTGGCCAATTACTCATCTGAACTAAAAATGGTTGCCTTCCTGTCTTTCCCTTAAAGCCCCCTAGAAAGCAAAGCGCCCACCTGTATGTCCAGGGACACAGTTAAGTGCTGTGCTTCTAATTCTAAGCAAGGACTTTGGAGTCTGTCAAATTTGTGTTCTAGACTTGGTTGTGGTACTTATCAGTCCTGTGGCCTAGGACAAGTCATACAACCTTTCTGCCCTGGCTTTGGTATCAGTAAAATGGAAGTTATAATGCTGTCACAAAACTAGTGCCTCACTCCTATTCCAAGAGATCCCTACCTTGGGAGCAGGAAGCACAAAGTGTGTTTAACTCAGTACAAGTGGCACTGGCAACCAGGGCTAGGGTCTGGAAAGAGAAAATAGTAAAAGAAGTAGTATGGGGAAAGAGGAAGGGGAAAAAGGAAGGATCTGAAAGAGAAGAGACAAAAGGGAGCTGGAAAACCAATCCCTTGACATTTAATAGCTAATTAAGTACTTATATTATGTACCATGTACTGTGCTAACTACATTTATATATACTTTCCTGTGGAGTGGGGACAATGATCATCCACATTTTACAGATGAGGAAAGTAAGGCATAGAGAAGTCAAAGAATGCCCCTCAAAGAAGCATTAGACATGGAGGATGAGGGCAAAGGGCACAGAGTAGTAGATACTGAGTGTAGGCTGAGTTCCAGGAACTTTCTCAAAGAGTCTCCCCAACCTTCTTTTCCCCATTTGTGAAATGCCACACTTTCTTCAGAAGAATTTCATTTAATTCAGTTAATTCATTTCTAGCCTAAAGATCTTCTACTTAAGAACTCTAAATGTCCACAGCCTGATTCTTTTTCAGCTGGAGGAATCCCAAGGCTACATCTGACATGGATGCAATTCAAAGTCAAAAGAAATAAAAAATATTTTAAGCTATACAGACCATTAACTTCTTTTTCATATCCAAGTCAACATGTTTTTTAGAACTGAAATTACAGAGTGGTAAACTTAACCAGGCCTCTGGAGTCAAACTGCCTGAAACATCAGATACATGGACCCTGTCTGTGGCAAGATCCCCACCCTGCTTCTTCCCACCTCCCAACCTGGACTGGACAGTGACATGCACCAACATCCTCTGCCATGAAGACTACCAATCTCACTGTCCTACATCCTGTTTATTTCAGCCACCAAAAGTAGCCCAAGATTCCCAGGTTACCCTCCCCAACACCTGAACTCAAATCCCTGTATGGCTCTGTACATATCCTAGTCTGTCCTATCATCCACCCCCTCTTCCAGTACTTGAAATCCTTCTATTTTCTTGAGCTCCTAGCTCTCGCTAGCAAAATTTCCTATACCTCAAACTTTTCTGTGAATAGCCTATTTACCATTTTGCTTCACCAAAAACTTAGCCCCGCTCTAAGACACTATTATCCCAATAGCCCTCGAGTAGTGAGTGTTTTTTCTCTAATACCTCCCTCTGCTACTTGACCAGGAGGGCACCTCTCTGCTTCTCACTGTAGCTTCTAAATTTTCTTTGCCTTTTTGTTAACCACTCCTCTGAAATGAAACTACAGTACCCACCACTCCTTCCTGTTGAAGTCACATATGGCCCCCTCCACAGTCCTCAAAGATTTTGTCTCTTGCCTCCCAGTCACTGCTTTCCTAACAGTGCCTGTTCAAAATCCCTGTGTTTTCAATATTTAGTAATGCCCTGGCTTCTCCTTGCATTTCCTTTCACTCAACCCAAGATCTCCTCTCCCCATGTTGCCTCACCCCTGTTCCCTTAGTCACACCTGTCATTAATACCTGTGACTCCTCTGTAATGCACCTTACTCTCCACTGTCCAACTCCTCCTCCTCATACCCCAGCTGATACTTTTTCAACTTCACCAGGACCTCAAGTCTGTTGATCCTGCAGCCTCTTGACTGCCTCCCCCAACAACCTCATGTCCCCATTTCTATATTCATCCAGCACCAAGTTTAAGGTCCTGCAGCACTTCATTCTGTACATTTACGAACTCTCCTGACATTCTCTCTCCCTTTTCCTTGCTTGCCTTGCCAAACTGCATTCCTGGTTAAACCTACTGTCTTCCTTTACATCTCTATATGTCTGCAAGCAAGCATGACTGGAGAAAAATATGAATAAATCCACACTGTTAACTCTTTAAATTCACCACAGCAAACTTTGAGCAGACTCCTAATGTTGCCCTATAATCCAACTATGTTTTAAGGCTATTCATTCTCCTTTCTCCTAAGCAACTATTTCACACCTTCTCCCATTTGCTTCTAACCTTTCCCATCCTTGCCTATTTCACAGGGTGATGGGGGAGGGTTGTAGGACATGGGTTCCTACCTCCCTGCATCCATGCTCACAGCTGCCTGTTCCCCTGCCTCTATGTAGGAAGCCCTATGCTGCTGGCTAAAGAATGCTATCTTCCATCTAAAGAAACAAAAACTCTTGACCCTACTTTCTGCCACAGCTACTACCTCCAGTTCTCTGCTTCCCTTCATACTTTAGAGGAAATCTCCTCAAAAGACTTGTGTCTAACTCAGAA